GTCTTCTAGTCCAGCCCCCTGCTCAAGCAGGAGACCCTAGACCATCTCAGACAGGTGGCTGTCCAGTCTCTTCTTCAAAGTCTCCAGTGATGGAGCACCCACAATGTCCAAAGGCAAAGCTGTTCCACTGGTTAATTGTCCTCACTGTTAGGAAGTTTCTCCTTCATTCCAGGTTGCTTCTCTCCTTGATTAGGTTCCATCCATGGTTTCTTGTCCTGCTCTCAGGTGCTTTGGAAAATAAGTTGATCCCTTCCTCTTCGTGGTCTTTTCATTAGACTAGACATACTCAATTCTTGCAACTGTTCTTCATATGTTTCCAACAGCAGCTTTAAGCTGCTGTATGCTCTACGGTGGAATCTAGAATTCAGGGGGGTGTGATATTAAGGAGACTACACTGATGTTAAATTTAATTACAGCCGCAAGGTTGTTAGTAGGGCAATGTTGGAAGAAGGAATCTTTGCCTACTTTGCAAGAGTGGTTTCTTAAAGTTTCTTATTTGGCGGAAATGGCAAAGATTTCAGCTTTTTTGAAGGATCAATCGCAAGAGAAGTATGTTGTGGTATGGAAAAAATGGATAGATTTTATACAATATAAGTTAGATATAAAAATATTATCTAGTTTTTTAACAATTTATATTCAAAATGGAATATTTTGTTTTTTTTTCTTTCTTTTTTTTGTTCTTTTTTTCCTTTTTTCATTCTTTTTTTTTAAACATTTATCTTTTGTATTCATGTTTTTTTATATATATACTATTGTTAATCATTTTATAATTTTTCTAATTAATGTATTTAGATTTTTAACTAATGTTAGATTTATTTATGGTTTATATCTTTTTTTAAGATTCTTTGATGAAATTCTAATTAAGCCTATATCCAGCTCTGGGAAGGTTGGGGGAGGGAATGGGAGGGTTGGGGAGGTTGGGGGGAAGATTGTTTTGTTTTTGTAAAATGTCAAAAATTCAATAAAAATTATCTTTGAAAAAAAAGAATTCAGGGGGGTGGGCGGTGGAAATGTTTTTTCTGGGTCTTCAAAACTGTTTCCCTTTCTTATCAACTAATGAGGGAGGAGGGGAAAACAACTCACAGTGGTATAAAGCCCAATTAGGCATGCTGCAGGCTGAGTATTCAGAACTGTTTCTCTGTTCTCTCGAGTTTCCTTTATCAGTAGTTTCAACAAACAGGGGGGAAAGAAACGGAACGCTGTTTTGTACCGAATTTCAGTCCAATCCCCAGAAGCCGTACGTACACACACTGCAGGACAGAGAGTCTTTATTTACTTCCCATTGTTAACTTAGTGCAGAATTGCACACCACGTATCCACAGCGCAACACTGCGCATCTGACGAACATGTTGCATTGTGGAGAACATGACCTACTCCAAAGAAAATTTTAAAAGGCAAGGAAAATTCCCTGGCAGAACAAATAGTACTTTATGAGCTCGCAACAAAGATGATCAGGGGACTGGAGGCTAAAAGATACAAGGAACGGTTGCTGGAATTGGGTATGTCTAGTTTAATGAAGAGAAGGACGAGGGGGGACATGATAGCAGTGTTCCAGTATCTCAGGGGCTGCCCCAAAGAAGAGGGAGTCAAGCTATTCTCCAAAGCACCTGAAGGAAGGAGAACAAGCAACGGATGGAAACTCATCAAGGAGACAAGCAACCTAGAACTAAGGAGAAACTTCCTGACAGTGAGGACAATTAACCAGTGGAACCACCTGCCTCCAGAAGCGGTGAATGCTCCAACACTGGAAGTTTTTAAGAAGAGACTGGACAGCCATTTGTCTGAAATGATATATAGGCTTTCCTGCCTGAGCAGGGGGTTGGACTAGATAACCTCCAAGGTCCCTTTTGACATTATTATTATTATTATTATTATTATTATTATTATTATTATTATTATTATTATTATTAACAACCTGCCTCCAGAAGTTGTGAATGCTCCAACACGGGAGGTTTTAAAGAAGAGACTGGACAGCCATTTGTCTGGAATGGTCTAGGGTTTCCTGCCTGAGCAGGGGGTTGGACTAGATGACCTCCAAGGTCCCTTCCAACTTTATTATTACCTCCCCTGTTTTACCAGCAAGTCAAAGCAACAAAAACCTCACAAAAGCTAAGGAATGTATGAGCAGATGAGATGGAGAGAAACCCCAAGCAATGGGACCAGAATATTTCAGGAACTCTTCCTGCATGAAAAGGGTCAGAGGTGGCACTACGGTCATAATAATTTATTTATCAGCAAAAAAGGGGGGGGATTACAAAGGTGCTTTTTCAAAAGGCAACCCGGCTTTGTTTTTTTGCTTGAAGACCTTTCGCTTCCCATCTAAGAAGCTTCTTCGGTTCTGACTGAATGATGGAAGATGGAAGGATTTATATTTCTTGCAGTCCTCTGATCATTAGGAGTCTTCCTGAGAGTCACTGAGATAAACCTGGAGGTTTGTCTGTGTCTTCGGGGTCCCCTCAGTGCTGCAAATGGGTGTGGAGCCTTCTTGGAGCTGCTGAAAGGACTGTGTTGTAGATTGGAGATGGGTGGTGTCGTATCCCTCCCCCTCTGTGGAGGGAGGGCCATTCAATTTTGACCTAGATGGCCTCTTGGAGCCCTCTTTCAAACCAGCGGTCCTCTCTGTCCAAAATGTGGACTGTGCAGTCTTCAAAAAAAAAAAAGTCCTTTGTCTTTCAAATGCAGACGGACTGCTGAATTTTGTCCCGATGGGTTTGCTCTCCTACAATTGTTTGTGAAGTGGTTGTTTTACATGTCTCATTGCACTGTACTCCATATATCACAATGCTCCGTGTTTTATCCTTGGCGTGGACAAGCTTCGGCCTTAGTTTATTTTCTGGGCAGTATATTTTCTGATTGTGAAAAAGATGTAGAGACAGTGGAAAGAGTGCAGAAAAAAGCAATAAAGATGATCAGGAGACTAGAGAGTAAAACATATGAAGAACGGTTGCTGGAATTGGGTATGTCTAGTTTAACAAAGAGAAGGATGAGAGGAGACATGATAGCAGTTTTCTAGTATCTCAGGGGCTGCCCCAAAGAAGAGGGAGTCAAGCTCTTCTCCAAAGCACCTGAAGGCAGAACAAGAAGCAACGGATGGAAACTAATCAAGGAGAGAAGCAACCTGGAACTAAGGAGAAATTTCCTGACTGTGAGAACAATTAACTTGACAACTATTTGCATGCTGAAAGATTCCCAGGTTTGTGTAACAAACAAAGGTTTGATCATGAAACCAAGCCAGACACTCCAGATGGTGAAATTAAGTCCATCCTCGAAAATATTTCCAACAACAGAGCTCCAAGTATTGTTTTACACAGTAGAAGGATGTTTATTTAAACAAATTGCGAGCCAATTTACAAAAGGCTACACACTGATAGAACAATAGCTGACTTTCCATCATCCTTCGCTGAGTTATCAGGGTGGCTACAGAGAATTTGGACACCGTACAGGCAGAGCGAAAGAGATAAGGAAAGATACATTAATACATGAATAAAGCTATTGTTTTCCAAAGAGCTGATGAAAAATTTCTTAGCTGCTCTTGTAAAGGAAGAAAGTAGGGTTAACAGCCCTCCAGCTAAGCTGCAGGCATTCGTGAAATACCAGCAAACCTGTTTAAGCTTTACAGGATAATGCAGTTCAAGGGCCACATACGGTCTGCAAGTAGATAGGAAAAGAAAAAAGAACAGTGGTGAAGGGACTGGAAAAAAATAGTTGCAAAAGTTGGACCTTAAAAAAGAAAGACAGGAAGAAAATCCACGCGTGCTGGAGAAGGCTCCTGCATATTCCTTGGACACCAAAGGTAGCTAAGAAGCAAATCCTGGAGGACATAACACCAGATATGTCACTGGAAAGCAAAATCAGAAAACTGAGTCTTGCTTATTTTGGCCATGTTACGTGGGGGAATAGCAATAGCAATAGCACTTAGACTTATATACTGCTCCGTAATGCTTTACAGCACACCCTCTGAGTTGTTTACAAATATTAGCATCTTGCTCCAAACAATTAGTAGCAACTGTGAGAGGGATCTCGGAGGCCTAGTGGACAATCCCTTAAATAGGAGCCAGCCGTGTGCTGCAGCTGCCAAAAAAGCCAACACAGTGCTAGGCTGCATGAACAGAGGGATAGAATCAAGATCAGGTGAAGTGTTAATACCACTTTACAAGGCCTTGGTAAGGCCACACTTGGAATCCTGCATCCAGTTTTGGTCACCACGATGTAAAAAAGAGGTTGAGACTCTAGAAAGAGTGCAGAGAAGAGCAACAAAGAGGATCAGGGGACTGGAGGCTAAAGCATATAAGGAACAGTTGCTGGAATTGGGTATGTCTACTTTAATGAAGAGAAGGACGAGGGGGGACGGGATAGCAGTGTTCCAGTATCTCAGGGGCTGACCCAAAGAAGAGAGAGTCAAGTTATTCTCCAAAGCACCTGAACACAAGACAAGAAGCAACAGATGGAAACTGATCAAGGAGAGAAGCAACCTAGAACTAAGGAGAAATTTCCTGACAGTGAGAACAATTAATCAGTGGAACAGCTTGCCTCCAGAAGCGGTGAATGCTCCAACACTGGAAGTTTTTAAGAAGAGACTGGACAGCCATTTGTCTGAAATGGTACAGGCTTTCCTGCTGGAGCAGGGGGCTGGACTAGATGACCTCCCAGGTCTCTTCCAGCTCTGAAGGTCCCAAAGAATTAGAAGCGACTGAATGACCGAATAACAGCCACAGCTCTGAATAACCTAGCTACTGTAAATATAGCAACACATAAATAAATAAATAAATGGATAAACTACCCAACTATTTATGCATTGCGCTGTGTGTATATTTTATTGTGAAGCCGCAAAAATCTCTCTTTCTCTGCCTCAAAACTATTTTTAGTCCAGAATGCATTATACATTAATATACCTCTCCTCATTAAGAAGAGATATGGTCACGGTACACAAAAGTACACTGTGTATTCGCACACACAGCCCTTAATAGGTGACTGTCAAGATAAAATTGTAAAATATTTACCTTTTTTTCCCCCCTATTTTCTGTTTTTCATGGGATTCCAATAAAGCAGGTAAATTTAATGAGAAAGGGCTGCGTTGTTGTGGCTTCCTGTATTGTAAAAGAAAGAAGAGGTTAGTGAATCACAGATATTATCCACACGATGTGCTATACAGTAAGGACCTTTATTTCCCATTGAATTAAAAACAGAGGAACCTTATTAGGATACTTGCTAAAATCCAAAATAAAGTCCATCAGCTCTCTAGTATTGGACACGTATCACGTTAGACATGTCTAATGGAATGCTTGAAACAATAGGAGTGATATTCTTTATAGGGATATTCTTCCCTTTCATTTTTTTATTCAATCGGAAGAGAATTTCAAGAACAGAACAGAACAGAATGGAATAGAATGGAATGGAATGGAATAATAGAATAGAAAAAATGGAATGGAATAGAATAGGAGTAGAATAGAATAGAATAGAATAGAATAGAATAGAATAGAATAGAATAGAATAGAATAGAATAGAATAGAATAGAATGGAAATAGAATGAAATAGAATAGAATAGAATAGAATAGAATAGAATAGAATAGAAATAGAATAGAAATAGAAAGAAATAGAATGAAATAGAATAGAATAGAATAGAATGAAATAGAATAGAATAGAATAGAATAGAATAGAATAGAATAGAATAGAATAGAAATAGAATAGAAATAGAAATAGAATGAAATAGAATAGAATAGAATAGAATAGAATAGAATAGAATAGAATAGAATAGAATAGAATAGAATAGAATAGAATAGAATAGAAAATATGGAATGGAATGGAATAGAATAGAATAGAATAGAATGGAATGGAATGGAATGGAATGGAATGGAATGGCATGGAATGGAACGGAATGGAACGGAATACAACAGAGCTGGAAGATACCTTGGAGGTCATCTAGTCCAGCCCCCTGCTCAAGCAGGAGGACCTACACCATCTCAGACAGGTGACTGTCCAGTCTCTTCTTAAAAACCTCCAGTGATGGAGCGCCCACGATGTCTGAAGGCAAAGCTACCCCTGAATAAAACAGGAGCAGCCAACTTTTTCAGTCTTTTAAAGATTGTTTCGGCCTTAAGGACTGCTTGAAGCACTACAAGAAATGTGGTGTCCTCAGCAGGCGACAGGTCCTAAAATATTGATCCTTTACGGGGAGTTTAAGAGTCAAAGGGGCCGTCTTAAAACTTGCTTTAACTAAACAAAACCCTAAAGTCATATTGTTGATTCAGGGTTTATCTTGAACGTGCCAAGTTGGGTTCTGCCTGCACTGAGAAAATAACAAGAATAACAATAACAATAATAACAACAACAACGATAATGATAATGATAATAATGTTGGAAATGCCCTTAGAGGTCATCTAGTCCAACCCCCTGCTCAGGCAGGAAAACCCTCTACCATTTCAGACAAGTGGCTGTCCAATGTCTTCTTAAAAACATCCAGTGATGGAGCATCTGCAACTTCTGGAGGCAGATTGTTCCACTGGTTAATTGTTCTCTCTGTCAGGAAATTCCTCCTTAGTTCCTGGTTGCTTCTCTCCTTGATTAATTTCCATCTGTTGCTTCTTGTCCTGCCCTCAAGCGCTTTGGAGACTAGCTTGACACCCACCCCCTCTTCTGTATCCAAAAATATGTTTGCCCCACTTAACAATGTAGAGACATTAGACGATATTTTACAACACCATTTTTTTTTATCATCTTAAGACGTAGTTCGATTTTCTCCTCAAGCCCATATATGCGATTAAAGTTAATGCCGAAAAGTATTTCTAAGACTCTAAGGATGCTAAGAAGTGTTTCTGTAATTACAGCATATGACTATTCACTCTGATTTCCCCTCCAAAAGCCCTTTCGATACGAAAAGGCAGATGTGCTTTTGTTTGGTTTTTTATCGAAATGACATTGCCACGAACGGCTTCTATCTTTCCCAGCCGGGCAAACATCCTTCTTAAGAAAATATTTCTTGCAGCCATACAAATCTTATGCGCGGAGATCCAATATTGCCTTTGTGGCCTTTGGAGGGGAACGGCGCCCGCCAGAAAGAGAAATCAATGCTCCCTATATTTGTTTGATGTTTTTATAGATTAAAACCGTGGCATAACAAGGTAATCTTTCCAAGACGGAATTCGCAAGGCATCGCCTTCCATTATTTCCTTCGAGGTAGACAGAGGGATCATCCGGCATCTGACAGGAGCCGGGGATTAATGTGCGTGTTGACTTTTTTTAAGCTTCTGAGTTTTTGCATAAAGGCTTCTAGTCAACACTTCTCCTTTTAAAAGCAGCTTGTCAAAAACTTTAACCCTTCTGACTGAAGGATGCTTTTTTAAAAAGCATGTCAAAGCAAATGGCTAAGCATTTTTTTTACCCTCCCCCCCCCCAAAAATAGATGATAATGTGGAGTTGTTTTCACAGCAATATATATCTCCTGTGAAGTAATGGAAGTAATAATCATCATAATAAATAAAATTAAAAAATAATTTAAAAACTACGGGATGTTATTCACCTGAGGATTAAAACCAACAGAGAGTCATCTGCAGGGACCTAATTCTTATATTGCTAATCTTGCAATAAGTTAAAAATATGCAAGCTTTACAGGGTGGGGTTGAAACACCATGGCAACATTGAAAAACTAGCGGCCGTTTAGGTATAGAGGTGGCCCTCAGCTAACAACAACAACAATAATAATAATAATATCATTTGCCTGTAAGCCAGAACTGGTGGGATCATAAAATAGAGAAAGTCATAGAAAATGATAAAGTTAAACTGCTCTGGGACTTCAGAATTCAAACAGACAAGCACCTGCAACATAACACCTCAGACTTAACAATTGTCAATAAGAAAGACAAAAAAGTCTGGATAGTGGACGTGGCAGTGCCCGGAGACAGCAGAATAGACGAGAAAGAACTGGAGAAGATCACAAAATACGAAGACTTACAAACAGAAAGAGAAAGACTGTGGCAAAAGCAAGCAAGGGTAGTACCAATAGTCATAGGCGCCTTGGGTGCAATCCCAAAACAACTGGAGCACCACTTGAACACCATTGGCATTGACAAATTCACTATTAGTCAATTGCAAAAGGCGGCCTTACTAGGAACTGCTTCCGTCCTGCGACGATATCTGTAATACCATCAAACATCCACATCTGCCTATCCCAGGTCCTGGGCAAGGACTCGATAGGTAGACAAAAATGCCAAATCCAGTCTGAACATCTGGCTGACTGCGATGATCCATAATTATAATAAAGTTGGAAGGGACCTTGGAGGTCATCTAGTCCAACCCCCTGCTCAGGCAGGAAACCCTACACCATTTCAGACAAATGCCTGTCCACTCTCTTCTTAAAGACAGTTCGAAGTTATAACAGCATGGAAAAGAGTGACTTACGGCCATTTTTCACACTTACGACCCTTGCAGCATCCCCGCAGTCATGTGATCAAAATTCAGAAGCTTGGAAACTGACATGGATTTATGACTGTCGCAGTCTCCCGGGGGGAGATCACGTGATCCCCTTTTGCGACCTTCTGACAAGCAAAGTCTATGGGGGAAGCGGATTCACTTAACGACCAGGTTGCTAACTTAATGGCAGCGATTCGCTTAACAACGGGGGCAAGAAAGGACGTAAAGTGGGAGAAAACTCACTTAACAAATGTCTCACTGTGCAACAAAAATGTTGGGCTTCATTGTAAGTTGAGGACTACCTCTAATTGGATTATATCTCCCATCAGCCTCAGCCTGCATGTCCAAGCAACAATTAATTAGAAGAATTGACCAGTGGAACAGCTTGCCACCAGAAGCTGTGAATGCTCCAACATTGGAAGTTTTTAAGAAGAGACTGGACAGCCATTTGTCCGAAATGGTATAGGGTTTCCTGCCTGAGCAGGGGGTTGGACTAGATGGCCTCCAAGGTCCTTTCCAACTCTATTATTGTTGTTGTTGTTGTTGTTATCTGGGTTTTGTAGTTCTGCAGAGCCACCAATGCCCAAAGTTAAATTTAAGATACTTTATATTACATATCGTAAAAGTACATTTATATTAACGTTTCCCAAAATACAGAAGCTAATTTAGAACTACATGGCAGAGTTAACTAAAGTGTGAATATCATTCATTTCTATGGCCATTAATGTCGGCAAATTTTTCTTTTCCACACAGCCGTGAAATTCAGCATATTGTCTCGAATGAGCGAGGCTCCTGTAAAGACAGCTAGATGGATGGGGGGGGCGGTTGTGGGGGAGTGTGTTTGTGTTACTCTACACAGGCGCTGGGCGGGCATGTGTTGGTTCGCTAACCAATTTATTGGGATGAGCCAGCCCAAACAGAGAGCGTTGGGTTAGCCCCACAAAAAGGCAAAATCAGAACGCTTATATATCCACAGATACAAATGCCCACTTGAAATGAATCCCTCGGAACAGTAACATCCCTTCCCCACCAGCCTCTGTCCAGTTAGCTCTAAAGATGCAGGTCTAGTTCTTTCTCTGGATTTATTCAAACACAGATCCCCACCTCCAGATTGCAGTTAAAGTCCATTCTTATCGCAGGGTTTCAGTTCAGGCTTTGGAAGCACATTGTGGCTTCTGTTCGGGGACAACAGAATAACAGAATTGGAAGGGAAGCATCTGTCAGGAATGGTGTAGGCATTCCTGCTTGGGCAGGGGGTTGGACTAGATGACCTACAGGGTCCCTTCCCACTCTGTTATTCTATTCTATTCTATTCTATTCTATTCTATTCTATTCTATTCTATTCTATTCTATATTTTCTATTCTGTTCTATTCTATTCTATTCTATTCTATTCTATTCCATTCCATATTTTCTATTCTATTCCATTCCATTCCATATTTTCTATTCTATTCTATTCTATTCTATTCTATTCTATTCTTCCATCCCATTCCATATTTTCTATTCTATTCTATTCTATTCTATTCTATTCTATTCTATTCTATTCTATTCTATTCTATTCTATTCTATTCTTCCATTCCATTCCATATTTTCTATTCTATTCTATTCATCATCATCATCATCATCATCATCATCATTATTATTGATCACTGGACAAATTAGAGTAGAAAAAATGTCAAGAAA